CGACACTTTATCTTGTCATATTAAGAAATTAATTGAATAAATATCAAAGAGAATGTGAATCTTTTTCATGTAGAGTGGATATTCCTGTGGAATAATATTTCAAGATATATTAGATACATTTCATTCTACGTTACATAATATATTTTTTTTGTAATAATTTCTTTCTCTTTCCTCTCTCTCTTTCTCTCTCTCTTTCTTTACAAAGCTTTGACATTTTATATGGAAGGACTGAAAGGAGCGAGTAAGTGGAATTTATGCATAAAAGGAGAGATAATCTACAGATTTCGTAGCACACGCCAAAAAAGGAAATGATTCGTTATCGTATTACTTCGAGATTAACGGGCTTCCTAAGGAGATTTGGATTAGAATTAAAAGAGAAAATTTCCTTCGGCGAGCGCACAAAAACCTCCGCTTTACTGTATTAAGCTACAAAGTCCCTACTTTTTATAAGTTACTATGTATCTTGCGCGTGCCTATATGTATTTAAAGTTCAACCGTATATCTCAACGTGGACTTGTGTAATCTGTGAAAATTACAGATGCGCAATTTGCATGTAGTACGGGATAATTTTAGAACACACGGCGCGCACGGAAACGTAACACGCTGCATACATTATTCATGGACGGACGAAACGCCTGGTTTTAACTAGCTCATTTTTAACATAATCTGTTTCACAACGAAAATTATTAAACATTGCCGCATAACCGATTGCAGTTGTTTAATGTCTCAGGTAGTCAATTTACGTTCGCGCAGCTTGTCGAAATTTACGAATTGCACGTCAAACTATATTAGAGCAACGGAACCACGTCGTAAGTCAAAATTTGTTCAATTCTGTGTCGTTTTATCGCTCGTAATAATTCGTCACGTGTGTGCCATTCGTTGTTGATTAAACGATTCCGTCCAGTAATCTCTTTGCTATATTATTCACTGCTGACTGCATTATTAAGAACATTAAATCCCACCGATCTCGGTGAGAGCGCCTCCGAGTGGGATAGAACGCCACGCAATAATCTCTTCGGCTTAATGCCGGCGGTGTGTACCAAAGAGAATACACAGTCGGAAGCTTAACTGTTAGACGCGCGCGAGAGGCCGCGGGGGGATCAGAAGGTCACGGTATTTCGTGGTTCGAGAATCGAGGGGGTGCCCGTAGAGAAACGGTAGCAATAGGGTGCATTTATATAAGGCCTGCCTCGAGCACATCCCGCCGGCGAACGAGGGAGTAAAAATAAGCCGGATGGGATATTATCGAGCTGATAGGAAGGACGGTATTCTATTCGCGGTACATTTTTTTTCTTTGTTTGGCCGTTATAACGCCGGAAAAACCGCTTGTACGAGCATTTTGTACATTTACTTCGTAAAAATGCGCTGACACAACAAAAAAACTGGAGTTGCATCGTGAATAGATAAAGTAATTTTTGTTATATTTTTTTCGAGTACTCTCATTATTTAGAATTTTTTTACCGCGAAAAATATCGGGCTAGTCGACAAAAAATGTAGAAAAATTTTCATCATTTTCAAGTTTCTTACTCGTAATATAATTATCTCTTCCAATTTTACTTTTTGATCCTCTATTAAAAATAAAGACGCTTTAAAAACGCGGATTTGCTTGGGTAAAGTTGAAAAGGCGTCGAGGCCAACAGTCTCTCGACGTGCTCCATTTTTTGTTACTCGAAGTATCTCGTCAGAAATTCAGAGTAGCTTGCAGCACTTTTTAATGAGACTTACCCTTAGTAACGTGGATTTTGGTAAATGATCCGCAACGAGCAAAGAAACGTCTTCAACTCGACTGCTATTCTGGTCGTGTAAAGTTAACAAGAAATCAGTCCATAAAAAATATGATTAACTTTTTGTTTTCATAAAGAATTTCAGATATTTCAGAAATCTATTTCTATATACTCGTACAATTGAAAAGTGTTCTCTACAAACAAAATTTGCAGTTGACGCAAGTAATGTCGGTAGAATTTTTTTATTGCGAAACATTGAAATATCTTCTTTAAACGACTCAGACGCGGTGATTTACGTAGTAGAAGTGACTAGTAAAATAACGAAAATGTTAACAGTATATTTATTATCTAAATTTTCTGTATCGATCTCTGTAAAAGTATATAAGTATAAGTTAGTAATATATATTCATCTTATGAAAAAAGTGTGTCGTTTGTCTATAAAGAGACGTGCTCTTGTAATCAGTCGATATTACTCGTTGTTTATTGGCTTTATTTAGAAAGTCGCACGAGCGAGAAATTTACCAGTTGCTCCACTTCTCCGAGGCACCTGGCGGAGTAGCACCTCGTTAGGAATTCACGCAGTCCTACATCTGTCTTTCTCCTCCTTTTTCCCTGTCGCCCTTTGTCCGTTCTTCTCAAAAGCTCTCCTTTCAGCGAGTTCGTCGCTGCGACGTACACGAAGCTTTCAATAAATACATAAGCATTCCGCAGCAAACTTTTCACTTTCGAGCTGAATGATCGTTATTCTCTCCATCTTTCTTTCTCTCTCTCTATCTTCCTCTTTTCTCTCTCTTTCTCTCTCTCTCGAAAGAAAATGGATCGTGATGACCCGAACTGCAGTAGCGGGTAAGGGGGGGGGGAGAGCTCGACGATAAAAGCTGCGCTGGACAAATATGCCGTCAGAAGCACCCGACGATCTCCCGTGGCTTACGAGAGCGCGCGGTCGGGCGATTTTACAATGCGCTGTAAACATGAAGTTTCGTCGCGGGCATCCCGATGCTACGCGTTTTCATGAGGTGGCATTTTAGCGTTTTGTATTGTTACGAAAACTGCACAATACGCGTGTACAACCGTCGCGTCGCGACGTTCTGGTTTTGCCGGGGTATGCAAAGTGCTTCGGAACTATCGCGACTCGTCCAAATTGCAGATGTTACGGAACTAAAAAGACGACGCGCGCCTACAATTCGTCGCAAAACGTGCTCTTCAAAGTTACCGTTTCATACCACTTTCGCTTCTTTATTTCAAGAGTATATGTAGATTGTACAACGAGTACAAGAAGTACTACATTAAAACTTTTTGCACTTCAACCGCTTAGGTGGACATTATTCTGTCAGGTATAGCTCGCGTTGAGACTAAGAATATCTCAAGATACATTTCCCTTCGCGTTCGCTCCTTTGTCAACGCGAACGTTCCCGTTATTTGACGAAACTTTTTCAATTAGTCGACGTCAAGGATGATGACGTAAGAATGGGCAGTGGACGGGCAAGAAAGCCCGGCACGATAAATGGCTGCATGCATGCCTTATTATTACCCTGAGAGACATTTCCGGGACGCGAATCGATTTCAGCGTTACCGCTAGATCGATAACCGAAGGAAAGGGAGCATACGTGCCAAGCGCATAATCAGATTGGCCGAATCGAGGCCTCGAGGAATCGATATCGGATCGAACGCGGAACAGTCCCAGCGGCCTAAGCACTTCCACGAAGGTCAATCTGAATCGGATTAAGTTCTATACGAGACACCGAATCGCGGTTCTCTTCGATCACGTTTCGCAATCTAATAAGCATATTGCTCTCTGATTGTAAACGATTACGCGAAATAATGGTACAAGCGATATTCTTTGTTTATTCAATTTCTGGAATAGTACATAAATGTAAAGACATTGTTGACTGATATTTCGGTATTAATTGATGATCGGTCTTATATAATATCATTATTTATTTTTACAAAAAATAACAAATAATATATAAATATTAAAATTATATAATATTTTTAATTATAATATTTTTACGCGAAAACAGTAAAAGATAGACTATTTTTAAAAAATAAGAAAAATTTCCGAAAGCGCCGATCTTCTTCTCCGAAGACCTGTAAAAAAATACTGCCAGGGACAATGATGTTGCAAACTATAAATTACGGGAGGCTGGACGGTTAATTATAATGATTCCTAAAGCTTTCATTACTAGGAGCGACGCCGCGCACTGTACTAACGCCGACAGTGGATACTTAAGATGTAATACTTTTCCGCCTTCGGCGATGCCGGCGGCGCATTAAATCGTTCCACCGTGTTTTATTGCGTCGAATTAAAGGCTAGCGATTAATGTCGGACCTGCGTTTCCATAGCATAAACGTAGCGCGCGGAGAGCGTATATATGCGGAGAGAATATGCGCATTCATAGCGCACGTCAAATGAATTTCGTCGGACGTATCCTACGCGCGCGCGCGCCGGCATAAAAACGAAACGGTTAATGAAGGCCTGAAAGAGAATTTCGCAAGGCGGTCATAATTCATTTTCGGGGGAACAGCGCGCGTTCTTCATTTTTGACCCTTCGCATTTGTAACGGTTCCGCAATTATCGCGGCGCGAAAACTTCTTGTCGTTGTTGCACTTTTTCACAAAGCGATTCAGCATCCAAATGCAATTTCTCAACCGTTCCTCTGACAGACAATTATCTCCCGAAAATCGCGCATTTTAATCCTAATTATTATATCAATTAAACATATTAATTTTTTATATAATTATATACGTGTATTTTTATACAATATTGATGGTACAATTAGAACGTATTTGAATGGTAAAAATTGACTTGATACACTAGTTATTTATTTATGATGCTGTTGACATGTATGTACGCGATGAAATTATCATTAGCATTTTTATGATGTATCGTATATGTAAATAATAATATATTTATACGTATAAAGACAAAATCGGTAATTAACGTAATGATGTCCAATTAATCTTACTCACACAAAATAATCCAGTGTTTAACATAGCTTACACTAAGTAATTATGTAATTAAGAAAATTTGCACAATAACACTCTATAACACAGTTATCCATTCTTAATTAAATCGAATCCTTAAAAAAAAATTAAATTGTATTCTATTTTAATAATTTTACTGATTACATTGATTAACATATAAGTATCTGATTTTTCTTACGATAGCTAAGAAAAAATACAATCCAGAAAGATCCGATCGTGATCTCTCTGGATTTCCCGGGATAAAAAGTGAATACGATTAGTAATCGATTTGTATCTTTCCTTTGGACGCAGCTATTCGCCGGGACCGCCTGTATGTTCAAGTCGCACAACAAGGTTTGTTCCTTTTTTCTTTTTACAGTCTGCTAATGTGCATTGGTGTCACTCTCTAATACATCGATGTTTCGTTGGTGTGTCACGGCTATTTTCTTCACCCTGTTTCTCTAAATCCTCCTACACCTCTCGTAAAGGTTTTGATTAACGTTCACGATGTTTGCACACAAAAGAACGTACACACGCTGAATTTGCATCGCAAAGTGGAATGCGGAGATTAATTCGAGCCTCCTTCCCTTGATGTCTCCGTTGTCTCGCTAGTTAAAGGACGAAATTAATTGTTTCGTTGCTTTCGAAGCCGCGGTAAGACGACGCGAAAGGGATACGGCAAGATAAGATAAAAGATAAGAGACACGGGCGACAAAAGGGGTTTGTTATTGAATTAAATTGACAAAGATCCGTTTTATGACGTGGATAACGACAATGATTTTGTGCTATTTCTTCAACGTTCTACCAAGCGTAGCAGCTAAAGTTTCATATTTTGTCGCCGGTATTTCTCAAGATGAGATCGTAATATTTGTTGTAACTATACGTTTGTATGAATAATTTTGAATGTGCCCCGTTTAAGATTTTTTAAGATTTAATTCATCTCAAATATGTATTTATTGAAATTCATTCTTTTGTAAAAATTGTATTTCGATATCATGTTAACGTTTTGCACACTGCTGCATGCTTTCTTTGGGCGTCGTCGTTTTCTAAGAGCCGAGAGGACTTGCATGTCTCAATAACGCAATTGCAGTTCGTTCTAAACAACCGGTCTGTTTTCCGTTTTGCCTTCGCTTCGTCCGTTGCCACGTATCCAGTTTTGTCACAGAATCAATTATCAATTTCCTTTCTACGCACGTAATTCGTCTCTCTGTTCCATTTGTGCACACTTCGCAACTGGAGCTATGAAAGGTTTCACAGTTTACCACATGTTTATCTATCAAGAAATTGCGTTACTATTATTGTCGTTAATAAACACGACGTGGACGAACGACAAACAGACGCATGATGTCCGCACACGTAATTACATATAATTAAAACATTTTGGTATCTATATTACGTTGAATCGATATTAAATGACGTCAAAACTTGTCGACCGGAAATAGTGATATGAGTCAGTAATAAGCTCCGATATGTACAATATACAATATCGGATCTTTTTAAAATTAATTTCTCAAGTAAAAAAAGATATATTGACTTTTCTTCTTAAGACAAGAAAATTTATATTACAAAAATTTAACAACTTTCTCTCTCTCTCTCTCTCTTTCTCGTACTTTTTAAAATTGAAAAAAATTCATATATTACTTGTTTACTTATTACCTTATTTACTTTCTTCAGAAATTTTATTTAACAAATTCTATTTGTGGTAAATGTATGAGTGATTATTTTTAAATAATTTTATTGCTTACAAAAATCCTGTCGATCCGAATATCGTGCAGGGAGGTCCGCTATTAAAGTTCTCGAATAAATGTTCATGTGAGGCTCGATCAATTACGTCGACGACTTACAACCAATTATATTACCTGAAGTACTCGAGCGGCGAAAGGGGTCACGTGCGAATTGTTTGAAAAGAATATGATTACTAATTGGCGCTGCCGTGAGTTGTTGGTTGGCCAACAACGCTCTTCGTGGCTGGCTGTTCACACAGCTCTCCGCGTAATTGGGCACATTCGTTCGCGCCGGCTTGGTAATTGCAGCTAACATGTTAACTGCAACTGCGGTCGCGCGCGGCTCGATCGCGAACACTTCTTTCTTCTTTCTCCTTTAATTGGTCGATCCGAAAATGGTCCATTCGACGCGCGTTCTCCTTTGTCTGTTGGCAAAGTGAGATCGGTTGACTCTATTAAATGTGAAAGCTTTAATGAATTCCGATCTGATTGAAATAAATGGCTGTCCGTGTTTCTGCATGTGACTTAACATATTTGACATTTAATGATGTAATGGTTCTAATGAGTTATATTTTCGGATGTTAGTGTCTACCAGAATTTATGTAGGATACTTTTATTTTGATTCGCGAATTAATGAAGTTAAATATGTATTTTATACATTACCGAACATCCCTTTGTGAAATATGTATGTATTTTATTTTTTAGGAATATAATAATGTAGCTTAAATAACATTAATATTTTGTCGCTTCTATGATTATATAACTTGATCTTTTCAGATTAGAATGTCGAAAGCTATCTATATGCTTATCTTTATGTTTTAATAATAGGTACTATATATGCATATATATAAGAATGTTATATAGATTTTAGGTTATATATAAGAGTGTTATCATTAATGCTTGATTAATTTATTTCTGAATAATAGTTAAATATGTAATGAAAATTGATAATTTGATTGCAACACATTATGCTGAACACGATAGAAAGAGTATAGAAAATGTCAAAATCATGAAGAACGTGAAAAAATCTTGTTATACAATAGTTATCAGATTTGTGTTAATTGATTGATTGATACATAATACATAATTATTTATCTCGTTAGCACCGCGTATATATCTTTTGTTTTATAATCGAAATTAATGGAATATATAATTTGTCAAATCGCCATGAGATCAGATAACTTATAAATTTTGCCGAACTTCAACAATTCGATAATTGGCGATCGCAAATGCCGCAGGTACCTCTGCGAAATAAATCGAGATTATCAATTTTGTTTCACGTGCATGGTAAAACGAGAGAGAGAGAGAGAGAGAGAGAGAAGTACTGACAAAAAATAACCGGCGGAAAAGTGAGCCGTCGACTCTCGAATTTCACGCGACCCCGCGGCATTCATCCCGCCCAACGAGCTTTAATTAGTGACGTCAGCTTGTCGTCAGGTCAATTTACGATATTCCAAGATAAACCGCGCCAGACGTACTCCAGTCGCCGCCCAGCTCCGTTCTAAATAACTCCGATCTGTATCGCGTGTTTTGCGAATAGCCGTGTTTCGGGCATGACACAAAGTCTAGTGCAAAGTCTGCAAACATCGTTCCAGAACGATCCCGGCTAGTTATAAGTTGGCCAGTAATATATTCTATGCGTTTTGTTGATGCAGTTAATCGTAGACAATGTCTGTAAGTGTACACTAGTTTATTGTTCGATGACATCATGAGCGATGCGTTTAATTGGACGACGCGAATTCGTTAACCCGCGCCACGAGACGATGGATGTCATACGTGGTTATGTGAGTGTCTAGTTTTATGCTTGGATAAGATATAGGCAAAGTTTCAGCACTATATACACATGTTGAGGGAACTTTCGCTTCATTCTTCATCCTCGGCGAGATCAAGCAACTTGTCAAAGAGTAGAAATATAATAAAATTGAGAAACTTTGGTCCCCTGCAAAAGACAGAAAAAGAAAGAGAGAGAGAGAGATTATTTAAATGTATAATTTTTCAAAATATTTGAAAATTTTTATTCAAAAATTTGAAATCTGAGGAGTCAAATCTTAGACCTGAAATTCCTAATTAAAGACAATGTAAAAATTCGAATATCAAAAAGAAGTGAAGATTTAAATTATGAATAAAATAAATTTTATAAAAATTGAAATGGGGATTTTTTTTAATTTTTTCATCTTTTGATTTTTAAGATCCTCTTACTATGAAATTTCTTTCAATGTATAAGTTCTAATTTCAATCTAGCTTGTTAAAAAATTAAATAAAATAAAAATCCGGATGAAGAAACAATGCTTTGCACTTATCACAGTGAGCTAAATTTTTTTTGTACATGTGCGAGATGACAAGGTAGGCTTGTTCGAGACACCATTACTCATTTCGATGAGATGATCGCTTGGAGTACAAGTGCCTCCAATTAAGAAGCCGATGTTTTAATGAACCTCCAAGCATACCGTTATCATTGCCGCTTAAAGGGCCGGCTCGCGAACAACTCCAGATGTTTATTCGCTACAGCCCGTCTCATTGGTGTATTGCGATTCTCTCTGTGAAGTTATCATTTTTTAAATTACGACATGATTAAGACTTTGACTGGAAATACCGAAAATAAAATGCTAACTTTATGGAAAACGTTGCAATTTCTACTGCTAATTCTTCGTGGTCATTCTGTGTCACATGTGCAAATTAGCATTTCGTGAGCAGACGAGTAAGGGGAAGCTAAACTCGGAGTGAAACGTTAAGTAGTCGCGACTTATCGAAGTCGCATCTTATTTACATCAATTAACTGTGTGTTTCAGTTCGTGCTATATTCTTGTTGTTGCATTACCTTCTCGCACGATTAGCTAGAATATAATCATTCGTTTCACTTGATGTTTTAATTGTACAATCTGACATTTGTTGTACTATTTGTAATTCTTGATGTAACATTTGCGTTTAATTAAACGTGTACGGAAAGAAAACGATTTTTTTGGAAGGTCTAAAAATTTTGCTGGATGCAGGTTTGAAAATAATTCTTGTTGGACCATCAAAATAATTTTGTTGGAAAGTCCAAAAATGATAAGCATTGCTATAAAACGTTTTGATATTCTAGCAATCAGTTTGACTTTCTAACAAAATTATTTTGATGGTCCATCAAGAATTATTTTTATATCTGTATCCAATAAAATCGTTCTTTCCGATAAACATGATTATCTTACTATAGATTTTCGTGTACTGCACTTTTGCCAGACTGATTTTCTTCCCGTTAATCAGATGGAATGACACTCTCTCAAATCAAGTTTGTCGGCGGGTAATCGGTCTCGGCACGGTTGTTGTTCATTGAAGCCTCCTCTTCCCGACGACGACGACTCCAATTTAACGCTGGCGGGCGGTCTTTTACTTTCAGTTGGGCGACGCGATGTTCGTCGAGCTGCCACGCGTTCGCCTGGACGGCGGTGCACGTGCTTTTCGGCAACATTGGGGCTACGAGACACGACCGTTGGCACCACCACCGCCGCTAATCGAAGAGGACGAGGCGGCCATCGAGCCGGAAACTGTCAGCCTTCGGGAGGCCAACACCGCATCTCCGATAGGTGAGTACCGCTAATCGATCTTAAGACGACCGAAATGTGGCCGTTTCGCGATGGTCTCGTTTCCGCGAACAGCACCGATATACCTTTCACGTCCGGCTGCTGTCCGATTGGGATCGAATTTTACACTACCGCACTTTTCGCGATATCTAATATCTCGACGTTGAATTTCTCTGCCAAATCTGTAGCGTTTATATGACGATAGGCGTATAATTCTTCTAAATTCTTTCGTTATTGTTCTGTTAAAAGAGCATGAACTTATATAATTACTCTACATTTAACTATTACATTTTACTATTACGCTGCATTTAACTCGAGCATTTCAAATATTTTACAAAATATTTATTTTCTTAGAATAATTAAATAAGAAGTCAGCTTTTTCATTATATAAATTAGATATTTTGATTAAATTTAAATGTGCCAGGAAGATGAGAAGAATTTAAAAAGAAATTTAAAGCGAAAGCAGATTTTTAAACGATAAACTAGGAATATCGTCGTTGATAGCATCAGAAATACTTTAAAAATAGAAGCTTTAATACAATTAATTAGTTCTTCTTTATTCTAATATTTTTTTTGCTTTTATTGAAATTTTTGTCTTTCTGCAAACGATTTGGATGCGAGTATATGTTATATACAATACAAAAACGGAGAAATAGACAGTATATTTTTCATACTTATTAAAAATTTATCTCTTGGAGATTAAAAGTCAATTAAGTTGATTCTTTAAATATAATATTAAACTTCTTTTTCCATGAAGATTCCATCAGACATTCTAAATTGTGATAAAACGAGGTAATTGCTATTACAAATGCGCGTGAACAATAATCGTTGTTTCTAGCAAATACTTTCGCGAATATAATCATTTGGAAAACACTGGGAACAATTTTGTTAATTTTAATTGCAATGGAATTGCGGGTCTTTGATCTCGCGTTTGTGTGTTTATACAACGAGCTCGCGCGATTTCGTCGGAATCGTCGAAACGCTTTGTGTCCGCTCGGAAACGCGTTAGATGTGATGTTTAACGCCGGTTGACACGTTGTCTTCGATGATAATAGCGGGAAAATCGAGGCCAGTCGACATTAATTGCGCTTTGTTTTGAATTGTTGCTGGCGTCGCTGCGACTGACAGACGCCGCACGACGGTGCAGTCCTTAACGAGTTGATATTGTTCAAAAGGAATCAAGTGCACTTTTTTTCTCTACTTCCCAATTTGCTCTGCTTTTGCAGCAACGCGAAAGAGCGGTGAAGAAGAAACACGATTATGCAGAAAATGAAATAGGACATTTTACAGCGTAATATAGTCACGAAATTGAAACACGAAAAACGAACTTTATTTCTCGTATTTCGCCTTAAAGTACTTTGGAATTAAATTAACTTTTCCGAGTTATTTGGCAACTTATAGCCATATAAAAAGAAATATATATTTTAATTATTAAATTTCATATCTACTGTACCTATATGTATTTTAACTTTATTCTGATTTATTGCATAATAAGGTTATAACAATTCTTATTGTTATTTGTTACGCATTTTTATGATAAAATTAGAGATTAAAGTTAAAGATTAGAGTTAAATTGTTGCAACTTTTTAATAAATAGGATCTTTCACTGATATCTGAACAAAGTAAATATCTAAGATACCGAAGATATTTAAGATATCTAGGATAAAGCAGTTTCCTATAATAATTTATTTTATTGTTTATTATATCGCAATAGGATAAAATATAATTTTGTAAGCTTATTTAATATTTGCATTGGCCTTTAATTATATGTTGCATTTTAGTAAATTAATGTTATTGAATTTCCTGCCTTACCGATACATCTGCCGTATCATCTACGAGAAAGCACAATTTTATAGAAGCTTCTATTACCAACTGTCGATATCTTATTTCTTCTCATAGTTCATAGATGGCAGAAGAAGTAAAGAATTTGTAGACCGGTATTCATAGTCAATTTTAAAAAAATTATTCAATCGAATGTAAGAACAATATCGACTGTGATTAATTTCTTACAATTTAAAACTTACGATTGCTCACGATTCTTATTGTAGATCCCGTATTAAGTTGTTTTACAATACGTCGTATGTTGGATCATAAGCCGTAGGGCGTAGAGAGTAAGAATTGACAGTCAATCACAGTCAAATGTAAAGAAAATATTCTTTACGTTGTAATTAGTCAACACCTGAATTGACAAGCTTTGTATGTATTTGTTATAGATGAAATAAGATAGCTTTTTACGTAGGTATTATCTCCATTAAAAAAAATATATATAATAAATATTTCTAAACTTATATAATAATATAATTATTAATATTAATAGCATTATATCATGTTTAAAAAAAGTTCAAGCTTTTAGTTTTATCAATAAGAAATTGTTGAAATTTTTTCTACAACTGATTTTTTTTACGAATTTAAAAATAATTTCATAATATACATATAAATTATTTAATATATAAAACACAATTAACATAGAAAAATATTTTGTCCTTCATTGGCATTATCGCGAGAAGTTAAAGAATTTCTATTTAAAAATCGAAAAGATAGCGAGAGATTTAAATATCTCAGATTGCATACGATATATTTTGCGAGCAATGTAAACATTGAGCTTTGCAATGTCAACTCTTTGTTGAAAGAATAAGAAAGAAAAGAGTCTCTCGAGCTTCCCTCTTACGGCTAGATATAACTATGACCTAATTTCGGTAAGAGTTCCGAGAAAATTCTGTTTCTTCTTTGTGACATTTAAAAGTCTCATTGCGGAACATTGTACTACGCTATTATGTGTAGGAGTTGGGTGTTTTAGAAATTACGGTTATAGATAATAGTCCTGATAAAACGACATTGTCGCAGGAGATTTTGTCAGAGAAGTGTTACCTTTTGTATTGTTAAAATTAACCATGGTCAACTCATTATTTGAACTCATTATTTATCCGAAGGAAAAAGTGCCTCTTTCATCTTACACCCGCTGTGTCAATTTGAATTCGTTTATTTCATCTTATTTCAATTGATTTCTTTCACGGCCTCGTATATTATACTTTTTTTCTGCACTACGATCGCGTATATACTCGCGCGGAAAAACCGCGTTCGCACGAACGCGCAATGACGATGCAAGGATAGCGGTGCTGCCGACAATGTGGATTTTAATATACCACTCGGTGGCCTTCGATACCTTCATCACGTGCAAACATTATCGTCGATGCAAAAACCTGGGAATTTTTAAAGAAGCGTAAATATCCAATTTGGAAGGAACTCGAGCGCTGATCGACTAATGGCGCTAGTCTCAATAAACGCGGTTTTGATAAAGTTTTATTCGTTATTCAAAGATACATGAAACGGTACTTTTTAATTAAATTATATCTAATAAAAGAACATATATTTTTATCTGATTATATATGTATATATCGGATGTCGAAATATCAGTTAGCTCGTACGCGAATCTTTTAAAAAATGAATTTTTCTTTTGTTAAAGCGTACCTTTCGTCATCGTGATATCTCCATGTGTGAAATCAATATTAAAAATTAAATTTAACTGGCTTTATAATGAACCTATTCGCTCGAACGAGATCGAGAAGCGAAGTGTCAGTTTAGTCGAGAGTTGAGAGTCTCTCGTTGACAGCCTTCTCTCGTCGCGATCGTCATCGCCGTGGTATTGTCTGAAGCACCGGAAATGCTCCCGCCGGAAGAACCATCCTAGTAGTCTCGCGCTCGAACTACACGCGGTCCCCTCCTGTCACCGAGACCTGCGTGGGTCTTGGGCGCGTCCATGCACGCATGAATGCCCGTTTCTATCCACGTAAATACACACTCGATCCCGCCGCTGCCGTTGCCGATCACGTTCGGTACACGAGACACATCGTGTAGGATTAAATCGTGAACGGGCTCGAGAGGTGTGAATGCTAATTGCAAAGAATCTGTCGGCATCAAAATGAAATCTTTTCGTTCAATAAGCGATTTTTACACGTGTATTGCTATTATTATCTTGAACATATTTATCATATTTATGGGATTTTTATATATTTTTGTGGAAAAGATCAGAACTTGTGCGGTCTAATATGTTTTTCAAAGAATTCAAAATAGAGAATAGTGTAAATTTTTTATTTTATATTAATTTTAAAGTTAATATTCATGAACTTTTGAAAAAATATGTATGTATTCTTTTAAAAGAATTAAAAGTCCGAGGTACGTACATTTCGGAGATCAGAATCGATAATTCTAGTGAGTTGAATTCTCAATGTTGCAGACAAAAAGCAAGTCAGTTAGTGTATTACTAAATATTAAATCCTTCAATTGACTGAAATGATCTTTTTGGATCTCTAATATAAATATACGTATCTCGGACTTTTAATCGTATAATCGAACATGCGACGTTACGACGTGACTTATCTCGCGTCTCGCAAACTCGACAATGAAGACGGTGGAAGATAGATGACTATTTCCACGCGATTCGCGATATCCTCGTGAAAAATCGTGCTCATGTCTGACGAATGCGGACCGTTAGCTGCCGGAGAGCCGCCATTAAAGTGTCTTGTCGTGAGTTAAACTCGCGATTTGTATGCACGAAGTGTACCGAACGTGACACATCCGATCGCGATTCCAACCGACTGAACCGACGAGCCCGAGCAAGACAGAAGTTTTTTTTCTCTGAAGCGCAATGATTAGATCGTCCAGGCAAAAGGTTATTGCGATGACTAATTTTGTAGGATGTGGTAGTTGGAATATCCTCGGAAAGTTATTAAAAGCAATGTTTACAAGTAGAAATTTTGCTTTTTTTTTCTAATTTTGACTTATATATTTTTTCATATTTTTTCTTTTAGTGTAATATTGATCTTATATTAATTGCAAATTATTATTGGATTATCTGTTACGAACTATATACATTGTACATACGTATATGTGTAGACATTGCACACACCCATATATATATATATATATATATATATATATATATATATATATGTACGGAGAGAATTTCCTTTTATAATTTACTCTGAAAATCATGTTAATCGTGG